TAGATAGATAGATAGATAGATAGATAGATAGATAGATAGATAGATAGATAGATAGATAGATAGATAGATAGATAGATAGATAGATAGATAGCGAGGTCTTACTCCCCATCTTCATATATATTAAAACAAATTATCGGGGCAAAGAAAGTAAATTGGAATAGCTATTTTCCTTTCAAAGAATCTGAGCAGAATTGGATGTTTGAAGTGAAGTTTGGCAGATGGAAATGCCACAGTTGTGGAGGGGGGGAGGGAGAGATTTTGTATAATTGGGCTCTGAAAAATGATTCATCATCAATAGACGAAATTATGGAATAAGGGTAAAAATTTAGGGGGGGGAGTCATTGGGAAGAACTACCCACCCCTTTGTTTCTACCGGCCACATGACACGGCAGTGGAAGAATTGCATTTGAGCCTTTCCTCACCAGCTTCTCTTGCTTTGACAAGGGAAAATGCTGCTGGAATAATGATGAATTGTTCTGACTTTGTTGACCGTCCTTTGTGTTTTACAGTGGCAGAATCAGCAGGATAAAGTTACATAAATCACTCTTGGGAGGAGAGAAGGCCAGCATTGTGGGAAAAGGGGATGGCACTGGAGGTGGCAGGTTATTCAAGGGGCTTTGTAAACAACTTGCAAGGAAAGCTCTCAATTAGTGCCAGCCTTAATAAGAGACAGGAAGGCCAATAGGCTGTCCTGTACCTTGAAGGGAAAGGGAGGGAAGCATTCCCAGATTAAGACAGCATGATTCCCAGGCAATATTTGAAGGATCAAAACCATGTAATATTAAAAATGACTATAAATTCTTAACATAACCTTGCACACTATACTAAGGATTCTCAAGTTTTAGAATGCCGTGACACCTTCAAATGAATTTGTATAACACCTATAGATAAAACTATTTATTCATTTGAGACAAAAATAGATTTGCCACTTAATTTGAAGCATTGCATTTTAATTTACACATCAAATGGCAGACATTTAAAACTATTTCATTGGAAATAAACCAACAACCCCCCCCCCTACACACACATACCCCTCAATAAAATTTACAACCATTATTTTAATGAAAAGGTTGATCTTATTTACTTTTGCATAATTCCTGACATCTGGGATTAATTTAAAAATAGGCATGCCACATTCATTTCATCAGAAAGGAAGGAAATAAAGAAAGCTTTTTGCCTTAAATTAACTTTTCTTGAAATGCTGCAGTACGCAAATCTCTGGCAGGCTGTAAGTTACTTTTAGTGCTCTCTTCTGGTGCAGCTCCATTGAGATGACTATCACAGAACCATCTTCTTTCTTAACCCACCACTCCCTTCCCCTCCGTATAATTCTCCCTGCAGAGTAAGCATTAAGACACATAGTCAAAGCTGTGCATTGAAGCCTCATGTGCATTGGGCACGATTACTCCTCCTGTGTAAATGTATTGTGTTTAAAATAAAACAAGCACAAAGAACATTTGAGCTTCATCTGGGGCTCTGGATGCCATTTTGCATCAAACTAGTAAGGCTGCTGAGGGAGGAGGCTTCCTTCCTTTCATTTGTGTTGCACTACTGTCACAACTTATTATTGATTTATAATTATGAGGCATCTTGTCTACTAGCAACCACATATGTAGACCTTCTCCAGGATGCCAATAGAAAGAGACAATTTGGTGAAGGGAAATTCACATTGTACTGCATCTAACTATTCTGTGTTATATAAAGTTTCTGGTTTTGTTGAACGTTGTTCTAAACGAAATGGTTAGAAGATTATGTAACACCATATATTGAAGTGTGGGAAAGGAAAATATTCAGTTTTAAAGCCAAGATTGGTGTGATTAAAGAAAAAAAATGTATGAGGCAAATACTTGGTCCAAATGAGGAATTTAACATATAATTTATGTATCTTATTGTACTTGGAAAGTCCAGTTGCCTCTTGAAAAATGTACTTAGAATATTTCTCAGCTTTTTGCTGAGTTTTTAATATAATTTGGGGGTAGTATTAACTATTGTTGTTAACTTAAGTGTATACTAGGGTGTGGAAGATGTTTAAGATTAACATTTAACATTAGAAATTAATCAAGGAGAAAAGGAACTTAGAACTGAGGAGAAATTTCCTGACAATTAATTCTCCAGAGTCCCTCCTGGAGAAGGGCGGCATACAAATAAACCAAATGCAAATAAACCAAATACAAAACAATTAATCAGTGGAACAGAAGTTGCCTCCAGAAGTTGTGAAAGCCCCAACACTGGAAGTCTTTAAGAAGATGTTGGATAGCCATTTGTCTGAAATGGTATAGGCTTTCCTGCCTAGGCAGGAGGTTGGACTAGAAGACCTCCAAGGTTCCTTCCAACTCTGCTATTGTATTGTATTGTATTGTATTTAAGACAACTATCATTCCAAGCAAACGTCTGCTAATAAGCAATTACCTGTAACTGTTTTTGGGGGAAATGATAGTAGTTGATGGACCTTTGCTTTTTCCTCCTCTGGTAGAAGAAAAAATATTGCACCTTGTGCTCGAATTTATTCATCGGCTGCTGACCTCAGCAACTCATCAGAAGAAACTCCCGGAAAGCCATCTTCCTCAAGCAGTGAGCAAAGTACAGTCAATTCCATTACAATACACTTCTACCTTCTTCTTTGGGGTCATCTTATAATCCTTGCCATGGTCTGGCTAGATCATCAGGATATGGTGCCTAGATCTGGTTACAAAAATTTACTTCCCTACAGGTAGTCCTAAACTTACAACAGTTCATTTTGTGACCATTCAAAGTTACAAAGGCACCAAAAAAAAAGTGACATGATCATTTTTCATACTTAATGACCATTGTGGCATCTCCATGGTCACATAATTCAGATGCTAGGCAACAGACTCATATTTATGACCGTTGCTGTGCCCCAGGGTCATGTGATCACCTTTTGCAACATTCTGACAAGCAAAGTCAATGGGGGAAGCCAGATTCACTTAACAACCATGTTACTAACTTAATAATCACAGTGATTCATTTAACAACTGTGGCAAGTAAAATGGGACTAAACTCACGTAACCAATGTCTCACTTCGCAACAGAAATTTTGGGCTCAGTTGTGGTCGTAAGTCGAAGACTACCCGTACTTGAATGATGTGCCATCAAGTCATTGTCAACTCCTAACGACCACATATATTTCTCCGTAATAGCGTGTCCCTTACTTGCTTTATCAGGTCTTCTAATAGTGCACCCATCACCACTGCAACTGAGTCTATCCACCTTGTTGATGGGCATTCTCTTCTTCTCTTTCCTTCCATCCTTCCCAGCACTGAACCTTCTTTAGAGAACTAGATCTTTGCATAATCTGTCCAAAATAGATGAATTTGAGCCTGGTCATCTGTGCTTGGAATGAGAACTCTATTGATCACTCCAAACACAGAAGGCTGGATTAAAGAATTTAAAAAAATTGAGGGTATCTTTGCTGCCATCCATGGTTGGATTTTTTTACAGTTTATGACTGCAACTTTAATGCAGAGGTCTTAAAACTTGCCAACTTTAAGACTTGTGGACTTCAACTCCCAGAATTCTCCAGCCAGCTGGCTGGAGAATTCTGGGAGTTGAAGTCTACAAGTCTTAAAGTTGCCAAGTTTGGGGGTGCCTGCTTTAATGTGTAGTTCTTGAGTGGAGAGTGAGGGGGGGGAAGCAAGCACATCTCAACAAAAGATAACTCCACGCAACTCATTCAGTAACTGAGGCAAATGTTATTGCTTTTGCTCAGATCAGATAACTTCTGCACTATCAAAGGCCTCTCCATTTTCCATGAGCCAATATTTTGCCCCTCAACCCACTTCTCATATTTTACTAGAAGTATTTAGTTATATACAAGATCATCTTCCTTCCATTGCCAGGTCCTCACCAATCTTTCTACAGTGACACGGAGAGTTTGGGAGGGAGCACTGAATGCCAAAGCTTGGATTCACCCACATCTAGCCCAGGTGAGAAGAAATTCCCCCTTTGCCTAGAAAATTAAGTAAGTTCATAAAGAAGAGATGGGAGGTGAAAGCTTTATTAAAGTATTAGCTGAAATCTTTATAAATTACAGTTACATTGGAAACAGACTGTGGCATTCTTTCCTAATCTATAGCCTTATTTTCCTCAGATACTGCTTTTTAATAGATTGGGCATTTTGAAGATTAAAAACTGTTTGTCTTTTAAATGAATATATATATAAATCCTGTTTTTTAAAAGCACATTTTAAATTGCAACTTGGTTTCTCTGTTAAAGCTGACCAAAGTCATTTTAGGCATCTTGATTCAAATTTATCCTACCAAGGAATTTTTTTAAAGAAAAAATTATAGCGGCAGTATCATTTTAAATGATTCATTAGATCTAGTAAGTAAGATCTTTATTACGGTCAAAGACCAGCAATATACATTTGTCTTTACACTATATTAAAAATACTAACATTAAAATATAATTAAAAGTATTTACATTAAAAGTGGATAATAACATTGTGGTCCAAAGATTGTTAAAGGTATGTCCAGATAATTGGTACAAGATGGTACTATACTGTAGCCAATTTTTTTCTTATGGACATTGCGGCAGCACAGAACTTTGCCACTGCATATGTGGTAACCGGGTTAGTGTCCTGGAGGAGAAAGCCTAGATAAAAATTGTCTGCCCTCCCTGGCAATCTCTCTAAGAAGGGGAGAATATATGCAGACCTACAAGCTCTGTATAGCTCGCAGTGTAATAGTACATGTGAATTATCTTCCACTTCTCCTTTACCACATATACAAACGCGTTCAGCTATAGGTGTTCTCTTATACCTGCCCTGGAGGAGTGCTGAAGGAAGAATGTTAAATCTGGCTCTGAAGAAAGATATTCTTTGTTTTGGAGAAATCATGTCATTTAGATACTCTGTTTTCTCTTCAGATCGTATAAATCTTTCGCCTTAAATGATTCAAGATCATGAAATTAATGCCAAAGAATACATCAGTTATATACTGGAAGCCCTCTGAGAACACATGCCACCCTTCTTGTTGCAACTAGATGAATTGTTTACCTAATCAGAAAACTAGAGGGGGTGGGGAAGGGGGGAGATTTCCTAAAATGAAAGAGAGAAGGAAAAAAAAACAGAAACTGTACCTGAGTTCTGATTCCACTTCTGCAATACTAATGGCTGAATTTTTTTGCATTGTACTAAAGTCAGAGATCAGAATTAGGAACTTTTGTGGGAATGTTGCTGCACCAATGGTTGGATGGCTTCCTATGAAGTCACTAGAAGAGTTTATGATGTCACAGAAAGTGGCAGAGCTGATGTTTTTTCAACCTGCTTATGAGGATTTTAAACCACTGGAATTGAAACCCTGTTCCAGTTTCCACTTTAGTGAGTCCCCTTATCTTCCCAGATGGTCCGAGATGCTGCTACTAAATTTTGGAAACGTAATGCCAGAGTGCTGGAAAAGGGCTGTGAATGAGCTATTAGGCGGCTGTATTCACGCAGCAATAATGTAGCTTGTTTAATTAGGACTTTATGAAATTGTGTATTAGTTATCATTATGTATCATGATTGTATAGGATGGCAATGATGGTTATTATGAGTATGCTTCTCTGATGTGTGAACCCAGCCATAGCCTACATCTAATCGAACCAGAGATGTAAGTCTTGTTATCAGGTGCTAAAATAAAATATATAGATCGCAACAAATTAAATTACAGTAAACTGGCATTCCTATGTGGAGGGTATTAGGGTGCCTATAGAAAGGTCCTTAAAAATAATGTTTTAATTAAAAAAAGAAAAGAAATTAGAAACTGACCAATTGCAGAACAAAGGGGCATTTATTATCAGAGTTATTTTGAGGTCCCTCATGGGCCCTGTGAACATTTTCAAAAAATAAAATGGTCAGGGGAGACTACCTCTTGTGGTAGCCCCCTGAAAATGTGCCTATCTGTCCAGAGAAAACAAATATAGCTTCAGAGGTATAGAAAATAGGGGTGGGACAGGAAGCTTCCAAACCAGTTTACTCTTTGGTGATTTTTTTTTAAAAAATGGCTTCTCCTAGCCCAGTGTTTCTCAACCTTGTCAACTTGAAGATGTCTGGACTTCAATTCCCAGAATTCCCCAGCCAGCATTCGCTGGCTGGGGAATTCTGGGAGTTGAAGTCCAGACATCTTCAAGTTGACATGGTTGAGAAACACTGTCCTAGCCACTGTGACAGCCATTGTGGTGTTGCAGAATCCCCCCTCCCTTGAGAAACCACCTACAATGAATGTCTTAAAATTTCAAACCTGCCTATCAACTCTGGAAGGCTGGGGCTGAGGCAAGAGTTGGTCCTTATTCTTTTCAAACTCATTTTTTTAAAAGCCAGTTTAAACAGTCGAACATGTCTGAACTGATTTGATAGTTAAAAATGACATGTCTTGCTAGGTTGGAAATTCTTGAGTTGCATTATATTGACAATGGAAATAAATCTTTCATGAATGCTAGCTCTAGAAAAGCACATTATGTTTTTTCACATTACAAATTAATTTTGCAGATCTCAGTGTGCAGTCAAATTTAACTGTTTGGGGTTATTTTAAGCAGCTTCCATGATTTTTTAAAAGATTATCTTGTCCAGAATGCAGCCGTGCGAGCGATTGTGGGTGCACCTCGGTACACCCACGTTACACCTATCCTCCGCGAGCTGCACTGGCTGCCTATTGGTCTCCGAACACGCTTCAAGGTGCTAGTTGTTACTTTTAAAGCCCTACATGGTATCGGACCTGGGTATTTGAAAGACTGCCTCCTGCCAATTACCTCCCTACGACCGATTAGATCCCACAGAGTGGGCCTCCTCCAAATTCCATCTGCCAGCCAGTGTCGACTGGCAAATCCCTGGAGGAGAGCCTTCTCTGTGGCTGCTCCAGCCCTCTGGAACGATCTCCCCGTGGAGATCCGGACCCTCACCACCCTCCAGGCTTTCTGCAAAGCCACGAAGACCTGGTTGTTCCGGCAGGCCTGGGGCTGACGAATTTCCAGCCCCATTTGAAATGTTATGATTGTTGTTGTTTTAGTTTGTTTGTCTTGTCCTATTTTGTACCCCTTTCCCCTTTTTGGTTGTGAGCTGCCCCGAGTCCCTTGGGAGTGAGGCGGCATACAAATTAAATAAACATAAACAACATAAACATTATTTATTTCATATTCAGGGCACAAGAAGTTGCTGAAAGCTCCATCCACTGGAACGGTATCCTCTTCAGAAGACTGTGAAGACAAAGATTTGATACAAGCCTATGACAATGGTAAGAAGCAAAATAATTATATGGTTTGACAGAATAAGAAGAAAACCAGAACTCTTCATAGCCTGAGAAAGGAAACAGAGATGAGAAAAGGACTATAGTTAGAGAGCTCCACAACTTATAAATGCATACTCCCTATTTTCTTGGTTTTTAATGAAAACATGCCAAGGATTCTTCATGTTGTGATTCCCACTTTACACAATTCTACCACACGTGAATGTTGTTAATTACCAATAACACTACTTTGAGCTTTCCATTGCCCCTCTTTTAAAGACTTAAAGCTTTTTGAAATCAACTGCCTCAAACCTTCCTGTCAAAGTACCTCTGTAATCTTATTCCCTTAGAAGACCTTCTCTTTTATCACTCTTCTTCCTGTGGTCAGGCTATGCTAGATGTTGCTCTGTTGTCCACTCTGACTTTTCAACTTTCAGATCTTCTTCTTTTCCTTTATCTTCTGGGCACTAACCATTATTGACTTCATACTCTGATATCAACTGTCATTCACAGTGTAGTGCTTGACCTTTTATTTCCGCTAGCCAGAATTTCTAATCAATCACAATATATCATCATCTAAGAACCAGTGAGGAAAGATTTCCTCCCGCATCTATCACGGCCTACTCTTTTTTTTTTTTCCTGGGGTTCTTCAATTCACTATGAAAGTAATTGACATAATTGTAAATCTAAACAAATTAATTACTACTGTTGCTTGACAGCTTTGCGATTGTGTGATTTTTCACACTGCGTTTGGAGATTACCCTTGTGAACATTGTAGGATGTAACACTTCTCTGCCATATCTAATATGTTATTTTATCCACTGGGAGATTCAGCCATGAAGCAACCCCTCCCTTTTGGGAGGTTGAATTATTGAAGGAATATTTTTCCTTGGAGTATGCAACATTTTTAGATCACAAAATAGGAAACTTAATAGTGGTCAGGGTCTGCCCTTTAACATTTGACCTAGTAAATACAAAATGGAATGAATCACATTACATATTTGACCATGGGCAGGATTTCTCCTATTTAGTAATGGGGGTGAGTTATTTTAGTTTGATTTAATTTGTTTTAATATTATGTTGAACCTATTAGCAATTTACCGTATTGTTTTGTGTGCTTCCTCGTTCAAAATCAGGCTCATGATTTTGGAACTCTTCCTATTTGAGATGGGGCATACCTTAAATATCTCCATATATATATATTTCACAAGGTGGGAGCGGGGGGTTGTATCTGTACATTGCTCTTCAGCAAATATTCATTGTTCTTTGGGGGGGGGGATGATGACCATATCTAATAGAGAATAATGGACCTCATCCTTTTTTCAGATCTAAATGATGTTGCATCTGAAAATGGCTTGTCCCATTATCAGTTTAAAAAAACAATCCTGTCAAGTGCTGCTCAGACTCATCGGCTGAGAAAACTGAGGGGGCCTTCAAAATGCAGAGAGTGTGAGAACTTCATGGTCAATGGTATCGAATGTGAAGAAGTAAGTGAACATGAAGGGAACCATTTTGCTGCAAAATGGTCAAACAGCCTCCCACTCTCATCAGTGCAACCAGGGGTGGGTTCCTGCCAGTTCTGACCTCTTCTATAGAAGAGGTTCCACATATCTACAGTGCCGTTTAGAACCGGTTCCAGCTCCCTCCCCCCGCACGTCCGCACATCATCAAGATGAAGAGAGAGAGGAGGAATTCTGGGAGTTGAAGTCCACAAGTCTTAGAGTCTGTCAAGTTTGAACACCCCTGGGGTTTTTTTTCTAAAGGGTTAGGGGTGCAAGGATCTTGTAACTTTACAGCTTTAAGACTTTTGTGCTTCAAATGCCAGAGTTTCTGAGCCAACATTTTGGTTGGTAAGCAAGTGTTAAGTGAGTTTCACCACATTTTACAAGTTGGCCACACCCACCAAGTCACATGGCTGGCAAGCCAGTCCCACCCAGTCACATGGCCAGCAAGCCACTCCCAGCCAGTCACATGGCCAGCAAGCCACTCCCACAAAGTAGGCCACACTTACAGAAGAGGTTCTAAAAAATTTTGAAACCCACCACTGAGTGCAACGTATGACAAAAACATTGGTAGTCAAAAAACGTGTGAAAGTCATTGTTATTTAGGCTTCAGTGGCATACTTACATATATAGAGATATGCACAAGAAAGCTAACTTTTCAATAAATAGGTATACATCTAAATCTATTAAATTAATTCCATATCCTGCCGTGAGATGCGATCCACTGAGCTTGAAATCGTATCCCCAACCCATATTAACCCTCTAGTAGTTATATATCTTTCAGTGGGACTTGACTGCTGATTTGGAAATGTACGAATAACAGGCATAGGAAAGATTCAGTGTGTGTTCTGACTTGTAATGTGCTAGGTGGGTGCAGGAATAAAGGATGCCAGTCTCATTCCAATTGGAATCAAGTCTAGATCATGGTTTGTCATTTGTCCATTTCCGGCCTTATGACAAGCATCTCTGCAGATCCAGTGTTTAAGGTGTAGTCATTTGAGTTGATTGCAGAGATTATCAAGAGTAGTAAGTAATCTGGGAGGATTTTCATTTCTGTAAGATACAATACATTTTTGAAACAGTATATTTATTTTATTGAAGAATACTAAGAGTTGAAAGAACTTTAAGCTTTAGTTTCAGTCAGCATGTTCCAGAATGACATAATCTGAATTAGTTAACATATATTTGGCCCATAATGAAAAATAGGCAACTAGGCTAGAGTTTTGAAGGGGTCTAACTTTTGTTCTTTCCTTCTGTGTTCATTGATGCTACTAAAAACTCAGCAGACATTAAGCATCGATTTGAATTTTTAATCACCTCTTCAGACATCTAAGTTAAGTACTGGGAGGAATAGACTTCATGTTTCTATATAGCAAAGCAAGAAAATGTGTTATGTAAGCGCACAAAACGGTGGCCTGTTACAAAAGCTCAAAACATGGTGGTTTAAGAAATAGCTATTTGTTAAGACTGATCCAATACCTCGGGGTTTTTTTTTTCACAGTGCCTGTTAACCTGCCATAAAAAATGTCTGGAGACCCTTCTCATCAATTGTGGTCATCAAAAACTGCCAGCCCGGGCATCGCTATTTGGAATTGACTTCAGTGATGTGCCAAGGGATTTCCCCGAGGAGGTGCCATTTATTGTGATGAAATGTACATCAGAGATAGAAACTCGTGCCTTGGGAGTGCAGGTAACTCATTCTTCTATGCATACAACAGTTGCATTCCAAGTTTTATTCCTGTTTCAAGGTAAGAGCAGGAACAAAATTTTCATTCCCATTCCTAATACAGAAGACGGAATTAACAGTCACCTATGCATGCTTTACATTAGTCCATTTCTGTGGAAGCATAAAAATCTTCAAAAATGAGAATGGCAAGCTGTTTAACAGCTGGAGCAAACATGTCTGACTACACCTTGGTCTGCATATAGAGCAGAATTTTACATATATTGTAATTCCAGGATCCTTACGTGTGTTGTTATTGTTACATGCTGGTTTTTCATCCCACTGTTAGCTCTGAATTTCAGATTGAACAAACTATATCTCCAGGTTTCTGAGCTGGCAGAAGTATATTTTCTATACTAAATTAACCAGAGTTTGGTGTTCTAGCATTTTATTTTATTTATTAGAACTTGTCAAACGAAAACAAGAACAAGAATAAAAGGAAAAAAATACAACGCCAGGGACGATAGGCACGATTGTGCACATGCACAATGCTCTCCTCCGCCTGCATCTCTATTTCTGAATCAGATCGATGTTCCGGTTGTCATTTGGGCACCTATGTATATGCGTTGTTCATCAAACCAGCTTCCCATGATTTGGTCTCCCTTTGCCTCTCCTCAATGCAGGGAATATATCGCATTAGTGGGGCGAAAGCACGCATGGAGAGATTGTGCCAAGCCTTTGAGAATGGACGAAGGTTGGTGGAGCTGTCAGAACATTCACCCCATGACATCACCGGAGTCCTTAAACATTTCCTTAAGGAGGTAAGGAATAAAAACAAAGAGCACGCTTAGCGCCGCATTTCCCTACAGCTGAAAGTGGTTTTCTGAGATGTGTCTCTTTAGCTGTGGGAGTTCGCAAGATACTGATATTAAAAGACAGCTCACAGTTATTCCTTCCCTTACAATAAACATTTTGCATTGCCCCCAGCTTTCACAATCCGAGGGACTCGTATATGCTGGTCTATGGCTAATTTGATTGACCGATTGATTGACTCCTAGACATTATATAAATTGCAGTTTACATATTATTTTTCAGATGTACTCTTTTTGCATCTATTCTTATTGTCCTCGGTTTTTGGTTTTTTTTAAGCACAATCTCTTATGTGGTTTGCATCAGAGAAGGATCTTCACTGGTAACTACTTACTACTTTTAACTTCCATTCCCATGTTGCAAGACATTTTCAAAAAATAAGGTTCTGATCTTGGCCTCCAGGGAACAAAGACCATTCACTGTTCTATATGATGTCTGGTTAAGGTTCTCTCCTCAGTGTTCTCTTCTGCAGATTAAACATACTCTGTCCTTTAACCATGTTGGAAAGGACTTGGTTTCTTATCATTTTGGTAGCCATTCTCTGAACTCATTCCATATGTGGACCTGGCTAAGGCAGAGTAAAATGGAACAATAACCTCCTGTAATCTGGACTTGTTCATACATGTACAGTATCTAAATAGCTGTCCATCTGAGTGCACCAATCTGCGCAGCTCACAAAAATATATCCTCAAATTTGATTCAACTTTTTAGCTGCTGCATCACACTGTTGTTTCATGTTCTACTGGTGACTTATTAGAACATTAAGTTTCTTTTGACATGTACAGTAGTCCTCAACTTACAACAGTTTGTTTAGTGACTATTTACAGTTACAATGGCACTGAAAATGTGACTTATGACCTTTTTCACACTTACGAGCATTGCACTATCCCCATGCTCATGTGATCAAAATTCAGATGTTTGGCAACAGAGTCATATTTATGACGGTTGCAGTGTCCTGGCGCCATGTGATCCCCTTTTGCGACCTTCTGACAAGCAAAGTCAATGGGGAAGCCAGATTCACTTAACAACCATGTTACTAACTTAACAACTGCAGTGATTCACTTAACAACTGTGGCAAGAAAGGTGGTAAAACGGGGCAAAATTCACTTAACAAATGTGG